TGCAGACCCAAACCAAGAGTGACCCTGGCCCTTTCAGACCTGCCTGTGGAGTAACAGAGAGCTCCAGTGTGTGCTGTGGCTGACCAGCCAGAAGGGTCTTGATACAGAAATTAGGAAATGAGATTCTGTAAGATTTTTATACGCAAAAGGTCAAAAAATGGTTTTATTAAAATGATATTAGAATCATGGATCTGTAGCTTGAACTGTGACCAATCAAAGTGAATATTTATAGTTTTGCTAGGTTATTTCTGTGGGGGTGTAGTGTAAGGCTTGAAAAACACGGAATGTATACGTTTCAGAGCCATAGTTTTGATTTTTGAGCTTATGAATGTTTATATCACAGAAAATATGAGAAAACACGTAGGTGATATTGCTCTGACTGGGGATAAAGTGTTTATTTTGTGAATATACTGATCGAAATTTGACAAATGATTTCCTAAGTACCTGGGAAGATGAAAAGTGAGAACTAAAGGAAAAGATAGGCATTATGATCAGTGAGTAAAGCAGTGCTGTAAACAAATGTTCTGATGTGATGAGCTGTTGATCTGAAAAGCTACTTTAACTTGAGACACTTGAGACTGAAAGAGATACCTGAGGGAGAAATTTGGTATATGTGTTTCACAGAGGATTATGAGGGGCTGGGAGATAGAAATCCTGAACTCTGCCAGTGCAGTGCCTGCACACCCTCAGCACAGCCCATCCTAGCAGGTAGGCAGGAGCACAGACAGCACTTACTTAGAGAAGCTGCTCTTGCTCTAGGGAATGGGGCTCTCAGGCTGCATCACTTTCAGCAGCCAGTTCTGGGAGGGTTTTAAATTTCTTTGTGAAACACAGCAGTAGCCTTTAAAAAAAATCCTTACAGAGCAAAAATGTCAGCATAGGGTCTATCCAGTGTTCTAACTTACAAGTGATTGTGGCAAAAAAAAAAAAAAAAAAAAAAAACAATAAAAGACATCCTTTAAGACCAAGTAAAACAGATATTTCTGATGTCTTTTGCCTTACTAAATAGGGGACCTTGGAGTCAAGCTGTTTTTTGTTTGGTCTTCATGATGTAGCCAGTTACCAGCAATAGCCCTATGACACCTTTTACACTTTTTTTTTTTTTTTTTTTTTGCCTTGTGCTGTACTTCACCCTAATGCTTTTACCAGCCATACCTGGCTGTGAGGTCCAGGCTGAGCTTGCAGGGAGTGCTGTGGGTTCCTGGGGCTGCTGACATCTCTTGCTGCCCAGCACTGTCAGAATGCAGCTCCGTGCATCAGCTCCACCCTGCTGCCTGTGGGAGCTGCAGTGCCACTGCTGCCTGGCAGCTCAGCAAACACAGCAGGGGCTCCAAGCCCTAAACTGTGATTTTCTGTGTTTCTGCCTCACTGAAACTCATGGTGCTGGAAGCCATGATTTTATCTTCAGTGGCTGGTGTTAATCAAAATTGGGGGTGGGGGGAAATCCAAAGTAAAAACTGGGAGGGTTGGAGAAGGAAAGCTGATCTTGCTTCTGTGAGACAAAAGACAAGTTAAAGGTTTCGTTTTTGAAATTATGTTTTTTTAAAAGTATTTTAATGATAAAACAAGCTTTGCATGGACAGCCAATGAAGAATGCTATTTTTGTTGTTTCGGTCCCATTTGGGTGAACATTTTACAGTAGGAAAACAAATTTGAAGGAATAAAAGTATAAACGTATTGAAATACTTCATGGAATGGAATAAAATAATTAGTTTTTATTTTGATTTTTTGTACTAAAAATTTTTAAAATATTTTTAAAATAATGTTTTAAAATTCATAGTGGGTTCTACTCTGAATGAACTGATGAATTTTTTAATTCATTCTCCTTTATTATAAAGATTCAATTACTACAAATGCTCTTTGCCCTAAAAATATGTGCACCTATCAACAGTCCCATTGTTACCTTTGGTGCTTGCTTTTTGAAAGTGGGACCTTATTATATGCCTAAATGGTTGGTGACTCTTTAATGACAATTACAATAATGGTTTCCCTGGCATTCCCAAAATGAACACAACTCCATCTACACCAGAGAAGCCTGACACAAAACAGAACATAAATATGAAGGCAGTTTTCAAAGTTGAGGTTCTGGGGTCTTAACACAGATGACTGTCTGTCTGTTTTTTATTTTCATATGATATTTCTGATTGCAAAAAGAGAATAATGACTGCAAAGAGGTCTTGTTCTCATGGATCCATAAAGATGGCTTCAAGTTTTTGTTACTGGCATAATAGGGCCTTTTTCAGCAAATGGAATTGCATGACTTTACTCTGAAGCATGCAATCATCTCAGGCCATAAAGGAGTTGAGCAGAGCTTGGAGTGGTTGTGGCACTCAAAATGTCTGTAGGGGCATCGGCCAGTGACTGGAAAACAAACATAATTTTCTTCTTGATGCATTATAAAGAAAAACATATCAAAATAGAGAATTAAATCAATAGCCCATCCACTTCCAGTCTAGGAGTGTGCAGTACCAAGTGCTACAGATACAGGCATCTGAAACTTTGTGTGCAGGTACGAAATAAACTGCCCACCAAAACCGCTTTTCACTAATCATGATGGAATATGTTTTATGTGCTAGAGCTCGAGGTTTATAGCCTTTTCCCATTTCTCCTGCTACTTCCCAGTATGTAGTGCTGGATTTCTCATACAACTGAAAAGCAAACATACCAGGATGGATTTCCTTCTGGCAGACATAACTGTAGTTTTATGGAAGCTTGTGTATGCTTTCAGATTTATACCAGTTGAGCACCCTTAGCCTGATTTCTAGCTCTATATAGGCTTTTTTTCCCTAAAGTTAGTGACAAAGGGGCCATCTAAAGGTGAGTAGATCATCTCTGTTTGAATCTGCCCACATTATTAATGGCAGAATCTTCACATCTTTCCTTACTAATTTGAAAAATGTAGATCTGGGCTCCAGCCAAAATGACAGTCAAGAAGAAGAACACTTAGAACAAGTTGTGATGAAGAATGAGATTTGCTCTGCCAGTTCACTGACAACATATTTGCTTTCTGTCTCTACCCCTCGCACCATCCTTTGTCTTCAAAAACACTCAGCAAACAATTCAGAGGAAGCAATTGGCATATTCCCTAATGAGACAAGATAAAGTGTCCTGTAACGATGATGACAGCAAATTCACTAAGTGAACTGCAGTTTAAGAACTTTGCAAATTGATCAAATCATGATTCCTTGGTTGCTTACTTAATTGCCTGTTACCATCTCTCTCCTGACCTCCATATGCCCACTGCTTCTGTCAGCACTTCTGCAACTCAGGGACTCTCTGTCAGCCCCTCAGGTTGTGAACACTGGAAGAATAGGTTCTGGTTTGGGGATTTTATTTAACTTGCATTTAATATGTGTTCTTGGCCAGCTATCACAGTGGGAATTTAGAGATATTCTGGACTCCTACCATGCTTGAATACATCAGGCTGTGAAGAAAAAGCTTTCCTAATTCTATTTATTGTAGGATGGATGCTAATTAAGGCAGTCTCATCAGGTGCTGAGCACCTTAAACAGCTTCTTAACCCTGGGAAGGATAGTGCTGTACTTGTTTAGCACTCAGTGATATTCTGTCTGCTAAAGATGTCTGGTTAGGCAAGAAATGTGCATGGGAAAAGCATATTTTGTCTGTGTACAAATGATTAAATGGTGAGACTCTTAATCCATAGCCTGTTTGGACCAGAGCCCCTAGAACTGTGGTTCTCCTTTATTGGTAGAAGTGAAGAAATGTCCAATATTTAAGTGATGAACTATCTTACAGCATTCTTCAGACAAGGCTACTTCAGGGCTCACCATTTATGCCTTTTTGAAAGTTTCATTAAAGTTTCTTTAAGGGAATGAGGGAAAAGGGAGGATGTGAGTTCATGTGTGCACAGGAGTAGGAGTAAGGAGCTATTCCTGCTGCTGTGGAGCAATTGCTGTCTTCTGCAGGGATTGTGTTTAGAAGTGGTGAGGAAGTGCTGGCCTTGCCATCAATCTGCAAAGCTCCCTGAGTTCCTTTCAGATGAAAAGCACTGGGAACTTTGCAGTTGTATTTACAGCCTCAACACAGCAGTCATAAACAATTGTGGAGAATAATTTTGTCAGTATAATCAGGTAAGTGTTCAAGCAGGTGGGGAGGAAAAAAATCAACTCTCCTGAAATGAGATTTAAAGTTGTTTTTCAAGGTCCAGGATCATACATGTGACTGTCTAATACCTCTGGAGTGCCTCTCTGCAGGAGTTTTCATTTTTGCCCCTATGAAGTGACAGTTATATCTTTCCTGATAATATGCCTCAAATACAAAGATTGTAGTGACCTCTGGGTTTTTCTTCCTCCTGTTCTTGCTCTTGGTGACCTGCTGTGCTTGTTTTATTAACCACTTGGATTTTCATGGGCACTTGTACTCCAACAGAAGAATATTGATAAGCAGAGAGAAAGAGTTGGTTGTATAAAATTAGGTCTAAAGCATAAAAATATCACCTAGGCTGGAGACCATGTCTGAGCTTGAGCTTTTCTGCTGGGGGACAATGGATTTCATTTGCATAGTAGACTATGGTAAGGCTTTAATGCTTCCTATTAACCTTATTATTCAGGGAAGGTGAGGACTGGGAAAAGTATTTGTTATCTGTGTTGGCAAGACTTAAGTGTATGCCTAGGTGGTAAATTGTGTGTATGTAGGTATGTCTTTGAAATACCATACATGGATGAATATATGTGTACCACTCCATAACTAGATATGTCACATTTGAAAGTTCATATCCCTTTATTTAAGTATTTGCATACTTTAACCCAAAATAAAGCAAGTACCTGTATCTTTAAAGCTAGCCTGTATTAAGTTCAAAAAAATTTAAACAAAAGTCTGATTTTTGAGCATGGATTCAGGCCCAAATGCAGTAAGATTTTACATGCTGATCAGCTGTGTGCTGACAGGGTATGTTATGACAATGGTTAACAGAGTTCTCATACAAAACATGTCTGTGTTCTGTCTGTCTGTGATGCAATCACTCTCTCTTTCTTTTAAAGCTGTCTATGAACAATCCTGCGAGGCTTACCGACACCAAGGGAAGACATCAGGTTTCTTCTACATCGATTCTGATGGAAGTGGACCACTGGGACCACTCCATGTTTTTTGCAATATAACAGGTAATGACCTAACCACGACTTGGCTGCCTGATGTCAAGTCTAATTTGATTTGAGGTGGTCTAAGCAGAATGATAGACACGTCAATGATGCAGCTCAGTAGTGGGGAAGAAGCAGGGAATTTGCAACAGAGGTTTCATTTAGAGATGTTTTCTTAAATAAGATCCATGTAAAAGTGATTTTTTAAAACAAGTTTGAAGGACTTGCTAAGTGATATATACACCACTGTCTGCACCTTATAAATAGCACTTCATGATATAACTTTCGATGAGATGTTTGTATTTTACTAAAGAGGTAGAAACTTAGAATCCAAACCATTCTTTTATAATTGAATGGTTTCTCTGGTTTATTAGAATATGAGATCTGGGAATTATTATTAAACTCCTCTCACTGAGCTAGCTATAAACCCTTCTAGTCTGCCATAGGCAGCAATACATCCCCTCATACAAGTGTGCTGCCTTTGGCATTCCATAGAGTGGAAACCTTGATTGTCCCTGCTATTTGTATGGAGGAGAATGCATGATGATTTTAGGAGAAGGGACACCAAAGAGCCTGACAAGGTGACCTGTTGGTTGAGGATTTTAACTTTACACTTCTGTAGGTTTAAAATAAGAATTGTTTCAAATGAACATACCTGTATGACAAATTCTTCCCTTAAGTGGGTCCTGTTTTGTATATAGGACTGTCAAGAGTATGAGAAAAGATCACATAGCTCTTATTGTGGGTGGGGGTAGATGGTAGGGCTCCCTTTCTGCTTTTTATATTTGAAATAGAGTTGAAATTTCCCACACTGTCTCCTGTTTGGCTTTTTTTGCTTCCTGTGGCCAGGTGCGGATGAAGGAATATTTTATTACCCTTTCTAAATTGCTAATTCTAGCTGAACTACTTTGCCACATATCACCTCCACACTCAGTATTGAAAATTGAGGACTCAGGATATTCATATTTTATCTTTAATCTCCTTGTACTTAAAGTGCCTCAAATTAAATTTTCATTTTTATTTAATTGGTCAATGATTATGTTAATTCAATGCACAATAGTTAATTATTAAGAATGTTTTTTATTCAAGTGTAACAAATATTTAGTAAGATGTATCTCCTTCGATGTTGAATCTCTTAAGAATTGTAACAGAGTTTCACCTTTCTGTGTGAATATCCTTCCTTGATCTTCAATCTGGGAAATGTGCTCATTTTTATTATTTATGATATAAATATGTGTGATTAAAACATTGTCAGTGCTTTTTATCTCCGCTGAAGAAGTAGGATTTTTGACAAACACCTTGCATTTGCTTTCCTCAAATAAACTTTATCTGGCAGAAATCCAGAAGGCATATACCTGATTTTCTCTCTATCTGTAATGAACTTGCTGACATTCTCATAATATTGGTTATGAGCAAAATGGAGGTGGGGAAAACTGGCAGAACCTCCTAGCCTGGAAAACATAATGCTTCTGTGTCAACTAAATATGGTTTGGATGCCTTAATCACAAGAGCTTCTTTTCTCTCTGGGAAATTCCCTTATTTTTATTCTCATAAAAATTGTTTACAGTAATCGATTAAGTGCAAAGTAGGAAAAATATTACTTTGTGTACACAGGGATGGAGTCTCAATTTGCTTCTTTTTTCAGATGATGCTTCTGCTTAGTTTTCTGAAAGTACCCCATATTCAGGGAAAGGCAAAATACAAAATTCTGTGTTGTTACACTAGGTACATAAAAGGAACAGACAAAGTATTTTTGTTCAGTGACATAAATCTGTACCATACCTCCTGTGAATGGAATGATGTGGATGGCCCATAATGTGGATGGCTTCCATGTGTGGGGAGATTAAACAAATTGAAAAGATGGCTGGGGGGAACTGTCACAGGAGAGCGTGCAGATCATGTGTGGCATAGAGAAAACACATAGGAATTGATTCTTTTTCATCATATATGAGCTAAGGGACACTTAAATGATTACATAGCAGGATTTGGGAGTTTTTTGTTTGCTTGATGCCTGATGCAGTGAATTCACCTTGAAACCACCACAGGACAGCAAGGAGGCTGATAGATCAAGAGAGGGAGTAAAACCCATCTGGAAAAAGCCCCAGTCTTGTCTGATAGATTCAGGAGATGCAAGCAAACACAGAGGTTTAGAAGCAGCTTCTCACTCAGCTAACTGTGACCATTGAGAAATGGGAATGAGCTTCAGGAAAACCTTTTGGCTTCCCCGGGTATCTCTTCACCCTCAGAGGCAGAGGTGGGCTCCTGGGCTAAATAAAGCTTTTATTTTACTCAGGCTGGCAGTTCTTTCTGTATACAGTTCAAGAAGCAGCAACCTTTTTATGCCCAAAACGTGTTCAAGCTGAAGAATTTGGAGGTGGAATGGAAAATTCAGGGCAATGACTCATTTAGTGTTTTTAAAAGTGGAGGTGCAGAAAGCTAATGCCTTCTGAGAATTACAGTGCCTTTAATCTGTGAAAGATGAATTCAAAGAAGAAATCAGACCATCAGAAATGAGCAGCATCATTACATTTAAAGAAAAGTGCTTTCCTTAATAGTCACTTACATTTTTTAAAGTTCTTTCGAATTCTAATTTAAGTTCTTTTTAATTTTTTTAATTTCTTTCTAACAGCATTTTTACCTGTTTAATTGAAGGGATTCAGATAGGAAACTTGTTTGTAGACAGTTATTAACTGGGGCACATAAACACCAAATTTCTTGCATATTGGTGTCTGGTCATAGTTATCCAGTGTCTGATGTGGATATGGAAATATCAACATTATAAGGTAGTTTACTGTGTTTATGTTTGCAGTGGTTTCTCTGCAACCTGTCAAGTTTAGCAGCCCACTGGTGAATAGAAATTCTGAGTAAAGCAGAAAATTGTGATTGTGTATGTTGAGAGGGAATTGCACAGTTATACAAAGAGGGAGAGAGATAAGAGAAAGGAAATGTTACAGGGAGAAAAAAAACCAAGAAAATATTAAAAAAAATATAAAGTCAATTTTCAGCATGGCAAGAAATTTAGTAGTGTCACAGAATATCTGATGAATAGCTGATACTAGAGTGGGTAAATGTACTTATCCACTGTCTGAAGAAGTGGCTGAAAAAACAAGGTGACAAAAACTATAGATGATGTGCTACTATTTAATAGCATGCTTATTGGTCAAGAAAGGAGAAGAGTGTATGAAGCACTTTAAAAGGATCTTACCTTGAGGGCTGTTTATTTCTACTAAAGGTAAAATACGTTGTTGAAATAGGAGGGTGTCAGGAACATTAATGTGCCTAATCAAAGGCATATGAAGATATCTGAGCAAAGAGAGGTTAAAAGTAAATAATCCAGGACTATTTAGAATGGGAAGACTCAAAGTGCATAGGCCTTCCTGACAGAAGCAATGCTCATTTGCATTTTCTGACAACAGGAGAAGAGAGACAGTTCAATGACAGTGAAAGACAAAAACCTCAAAACTAGATCTAAAAGGAAAAGACAGCACCTTATTACCATAATGTTTTCTTCACTTTATATACCCACTGTAAAAGAACAAAGTCACTTTCACAGGGAAATTCATCAGTTGTAGGAAACACTGAGGAATCCACACCAAATATACATCTGTATGTGGGGAAGTGAACCAAGTGTATGTGCCCAAGCCATGATTGGATGTAGCTGGATGCCATGAAGGACACCAGGAGGATGTGAATGGGTCCATGCAGGGATTACTAAATTGGGGTGGTTGCATTGGGTGCTGTGGGAACACAGGATTCTGATAAATGTGTAGATTGTCAAAATTATATTTGCAGTTTTTTACAATTTTTGCCTTTTTTTCATTCAGCTAAAAATTATTAAAATTTTTATTCTTCCATGTAGTACATATCCCCATTGATGTTCCTAAAACAATCAGTTGTATTATTGTCCGTGACATCCATCTTCCCTTTGTTTCCACATGTGAATCTAAGCTCATCTGCTTATATAATTCCTTAATCTATTTTCCAGAGGAAACCATTTCATTTTACTTTGTATAGCAATTACACAGATGCAGGAGTCATCATGTACTCAGCCCCTTTTGCATTCTTATAGACTTGGGAAATTCTCATGTGAGAAGGAGGGCTACCTCTGGACAGGCTGGAGCAAGAACAGATAGGAGAAGGCCATGCCCTTAATTCTGTCTTTAATACCTGCAGCTGCAGGATTTTGGTACAACAATTTAAATGGTCAAATTCTCTTACTGTTGTGATTGACTTTATACAAGAGAAAACAACAAATGGAAGTTCTTTACAAATTGTTTACTACTGTTTAGATTAAAGGCAGCCCTTAACGATTTACAGTTTATCCTTCAAACACTACGGATCTTTTGGCACACTGTAGTTTTGACAATTGATACGTTTCTCTTTTGAATTTTCATTAGGTATTCTTCCAGAACCTTACAGAATGAAAAAAGCTCTAATATTAATATTATGTCAGAGGCATTGTGCTGTCAACAGCTGCCTTGCTGCTTGCAATGAAATTGTTGTTTTTCAGATGAGCATCATGACAGAAGTCCTGAAGGCCACCTGCACTGTCACATTTGCAGGTACTTCCTAAGGTACTTCCTAAGGAAGTTCTAGTACTGAAGAACATAACTAGATATTTTTCCCTAGCCATTACCTTTTAATAAAAGTTTACTGCCACCTAATCCCTACGTCTGCAGTGCTCAGAAGTTAGAAGTAAGCTGTGGCTCTGTCCGGGTCACTCCAGCTGTCTCGGTTGCAAGGGGTGGATCCCTTTGCCCCAGACACGGGTGTCTCCTGCCATTCTGCACCCCTGCAGGTTTCATGCCCACCCCCCAGCTGAGGAACAGCAGGCTTGCTGTGGGCTCTTCTTCTTGTCTGCCAGGCTCCTGCAGCTGTCTGAGCCATCACAAGACATGTGAAACAGCAGAAACGTGGTTTGAGTCTCTCGACACTCACCCTAGAAGGAGGAGACGAGGCAGGGAGGACTGCAGAGTTGTCAGAAGTACAGTGAGTGGAGAAGTGTCCATTTTGCTCTAGGAAGG